CATCACCAACAAATGGTACCAACAATCCCAAAACAGCTGAACATGTCGATCGGTCGATTCATTTTGGGCTGAGTTGTGCGGTGTATGTTGTTTGAAGCATGGCCATGTCCTCGCAACTAAAAAAAAAAAGCGAAAAGATCCAAAGGCTGTTGGTTTCCCCTTTCAGACCATCCAGAAAAGTCCAAATCTTGTGATTCGGAGCCACCCATAATTTGGAGACGTGGTGAATTCTGCTTGGCTTAGCCAAAAACAGGTTGGAGCTGGAAAAAAAGCAAGAGAATCTGTCCAACCCTTGGTATGGGCCTCTTTTCGCAGCCCCCGATGTGAACAGAAGCCAGAAACCTACAAACATGCCAACAACGGTGAAGGCATGCACCAAGAGTTTTCCAGCGAGCTGGCACACCCACATAAGTTGGTGATCGGGGCTGTCAGAGAAGCAACCCCTGTCACAGCGATGCTTTCAATTGCAACCACTGCAATTGGCTCGGGGAATGGCAACTCAACCGCTTCAAGACGGGGAAAGATGGGGAGCCCCTAAAACTCATCTGGAAGCTGTACTACGTGAGCGTCTTGTTTGAGACTGCACAACACATTTCCAAAGCCTGACATAAGGGATTTCCGACTTCGGATCTTCGTTTATCATAGTAAACCTCCGGGTGAGCTCGTAGGGGGAGGAACATGGTATGATACGGAAGTTTGGTTTTTATAATCTGCAGTCCCACAGCTGAACATTGATTGTCAAAGGGTGACATGCAGACGTCTGAACGCGCCGTACCTTGCAACTTCTAAAAACCAATGGGCGAAGAGAATGAATAGGGAGTCAAAGCGTGTAAATGTAACCCATACGCCTGGCCCCGTTGACTTACCAAATATCAAAGTCACCGCGGTGGCAGGTTAAAGGAAAGCCACCCCAGCTTCTGACTTTGATAACCCCCAGAAATAGTCAAAATAATGACCCCAGTACGCAAACCCTTGGTATCAACCATTTGTCAACCGTGTGGAATACACCTTCGCCACCGACGGAGCGAAACCGGAGATGAGTAAAAAGGGTCCTTACCTTCGGCTGAACCGAGGTCGTGCCCCAGCTCACCGTTTTGGGCCTGGAAGACTCATGGGACTGATGGCCTCAGAGAATTGTGGCGGGAAGGTGTTCGTTTTCCCACCCAAGATGGAAACCCCCCTCCAAATCACAAAGTAGAGAAAATGGGGGGGTTCAACCATTACATGGGTGGGTGTCATATTCACCCTCCCTTCGGATAATGATTTAGGGTCAATAGGAAGACAGTCTCAAAATTGCCTGGGCCCTACCACAAAGGGACTTCACCGCGGCGTTGGCATGGAGTCTCCATGACCCTTCAATGGAGTCATGACAAATTTATTCTGGGTAATGACCCCGATTTTGTAAGGGTCATGGAGACTCCAAGCATATCGTGTCTTTGGATTTGTGTATATTGTGTTTGTTTAATGGAGATAGCTAGAACATGGTATGGACCCAAATGTGCCGGCCAAAGTGTTTATTGTTTTTAAGAATCCTGCAATCACGTTTCAGGAGCGAGGCCTGGGGCCCCCACCCAAATCCACTTGCGGTACCGCTGGTTGCGATCGGTGCCGCCTACGTGAAACCCCAGGCTGGGGAGAAACTGGGCTGGACCTAGGATTGTTGGATCTAGGTGATTTAGAGAGCTAGAATAAGGGTACCAACTTTTTGCGGTAGTCTAGTTTGGTAGGGGAACCCTCCCCCCCAAAAAAAACGCTAAAAGTTGGCACCTAGCTGGGGGACCTAAGATTGTTGGATGGTAGAGGCGTCGCACCCTGGACCTCATGATAGATATCCCAGTTTGGTCTTGGATAGCTGGCTCGATCGATCGGCACGGCTTATCACGTGGATGGCTGAAGAGACCTTCGGGTTTCCCGGAGCTGAGTTGGGCGGTGAGTTCCTGGCGAAGTCCCTTGGCTGGTCCAGTTGCCGCCAAAAGTCGGCAGAAACGTGCAAAGGCTCAAACAACCGGGTGAGTCAAAGAGTTCCGGCATGAACATGCGAAGCCGGGCTGCACGAAGCACGGGGCTGTTGGACGGCAAGCCTTCGGGCTTGGTCGAAGCCTCGTGGCTCTCATGACTTAAAGGAGTTCCACTGCTTGCAGATTGCAGCCGCCCCGCAAGCGCAGCACCAAAACAAATTACGCCGTCTTCTCTTAATCTCAGATGCCCAGTGGTATTGGAACTCTCTTTAAAAAAAAGGGGGGAAAAGGGCGCCACTGGGCAAGTGGGTAATGATCATGTCTGAGTTTGGTTTCAAAGCACCCCACAACCCCTTCAAATTGCTTCTTGACCTCAGATTCCCCACATGCTTGCCAGGCAACACGGCAGGTTCAATTTGATGACTCGGGACAGGGATCCCTTGATTTCTTCCATCGTTGGGATTGTCACTCACAACTTGTACAATTGCTAATGCCCAGGTTCCTTCGAAACAAAGAGGCAAACAATTTCAAGAACCTTACTCCTCCGATCTTCACATGAAGCAGAATGGTTCAAACTAAAGTCCGACACGGAACTCTTTCCGGGCGTGAGACTTTCTTTGTGGACAAATCTCTTAAGGGCCCGACAAAAGGGGGTGCAATGAAACACATGGTGGAGGAAGCAACTGGAAGCGCGGAGTGAGGGGAGTAAGCAACAGATTTCTTCAACTGAAAGGCGCACGTGAAAACCTCCCGCCTAGCCAACAGCCTTGGTGGTAAGGCCTGGGTGGCAGAAAGCCCCAACTACACTTGAGCTTTGGTTGGTTTCTTTTGAGATTGTCGTTGTGGTCCGAGTTTTGGACGGTATCTTGGGCAACCAAAATTTAAACTAGCAACCATAGGGCTCCGTTTCAATTTCCTTGAGAACCCATATGAGCCGTTTTTGTACGAACTGCTGCACCCTTCTTGACGTTGTTCCTGGGGAATCAGGCGGGGGAACCATGAAAATCATGCTGCTAGTACCTTTGGCTCTCTCCAGTTTCAACTTTCTTTGCGAGTCCCCCATGTCTCAATCCAAAACGGACCATGGAACCCGCAGATCCAGAGGATTGCCTGGGATGGGGCCTTTGGGGTTGATGAAAACTTCTAAGGGTTCCTCGCACAATATGAGCAGAACGTGACACAAGTGGTTGACCCCGATTTGAAAATCACTACGCTAAAGGCAAGTGCCTGGTCCACTCACAAAAAGGTGGCAACCTAAAACAAAGGGAATGGAATGGAATGAAATAAAGAAAGCAAGAAACACTGCCTGACTGACTGGACTGGACTGGACTGGACTGGACTGGACTGACTGAAAAATGAATGAACGGATGGATGGACGGATGGACAGAGGGATGAATGAAACGATCGATGAATGAACCAATTAATGAAGGAAGAAAGGAAGGAAGGAAGGAAGGAAGAACGGAAGAAAGGAAGGAAGGAAGGAAGGAAGAAAGGAGGGAGGGAAGGAAGGAAGGAAAGAGGGAGGGAGGGAGGGAGGGAAGTAAGGAAGGAAGTAAGGAAGGAAGGAATCAAACAAAACAATAAATAAATAAATCGATCAAATCAAATCAAATCAAATCACATCACATCACATCACATCACATCAATCAGATCTATCAATCAATCAATCAATCAATCAATCAATCAATCAACCAACCAACCAACCAACCAACCAACCAACCAACCAACCAATCAATCAATCAATCAATCAAATCAAATCAAATCAAATCAAACCAATTCAATTCAAATCAATCAATCCAATCTAATCCAAGCCATCAATCAATCAATCAATCAACCAACCAACCAATCAATCAATCAAATGAATCAATCAATCAATCAATCAATCAATCAATCAATCAATCAATCAATCAATCAATCAATCAATCAATCAATCAATCAAATCAATCAAATCAAATCAAACCAATTCAAATCAAATCAAATCAAATCAATCAATCAATCAATCAATCAATCAATCAATCGATCAATCAATGAAATCCATCATTCAACCAATGAATTAATGCATGATTGCAGATAAAATATAATAAACAAGTGCACATACAAATGCATATATATATATATATTATATATATATATATATCAAATACTTTCTCAGGAGACCCGCAGTTTTAACCCTCCCCCCCCCCTGGGAAAAATGAACATATTTCCAGTAGTGATAAATTCCGGCAGTTAACATCACACAGGGGACATATAAACATATTCTTAAGCCAATGGCAGTTCTCCAAACTTTGGCGTTCGGGAAATCCATAAATTGGCACTTTGCACCCAAAGAGGCGTGTTTCCACCCCCCTTTTTGGGTTGGTTGAGAAAGGAAGTTGCGCCTTTTTTGGAGGGGGGGATCCCCTAGTTTCACACATGAGTGTCTCCTTTTTTTGAGGGGGGGGGGGGGAATGGTGTAACCCCATTTAAAAACACATGCAGATGGCACCTTCAACCGAAAACACCCACCCAACTAACACGTAGAATTCTTCACTGTCACCTGGATTTGCCAAAAGCCTCCATGGAAAATGTGGGATCCGCTTGAGCAGGCAAAAGGGTGTGAATTTGAGGGTTCCCTATTGGGGGGTGGTTCAAAGGGAATTCAACAGACAACTATGCATTTTTGTTGGCCCCCTTAAAACGCTCAGATGCCGAGGCTGGCTGTCTGCATCCAACGAAAAAGTGAAAACACCCGCAACAGAGTGTGTGGTACGTAACGGTAACAAACTAGGTCCTCCAGTAGAGAGGTTAGAATGAGGTTACCCTTTTTTCTGTAGTTCATTTTAGTAGGGAAACCCTTCCAACCAAAAAAGTTGGTGAGAAAGGGTAATACTCGGGGACCTAGCATTGGTTTCCTTCTGTTGAAGTTTGGGGTTTTCCTTGAGGGTGCCCCTTTCAGAGTGGTTTCACAGAAAAGCCGATGTGCAACCAAACATGTAGCCGAACGGTTCACATGCAAGCTCATGCCAGTCTAAGACAAGCCCTCTCAAAAACCAAATCGCCGGCTCAGCTGCTATCCGCCGCCAAACCCCAAGTTCCCAGCCGGGTGTTGCCACACGCGAAGACCAGCTGCCCGTTTTCCGCCTCCATCGACCGTGTTTGGACGGCACTCCGAAGACAGAAAGTCGGTTTGCCTCTACTTTGCAGTTTGGAGCTTTGTGGTTTGGAGGTTGGGCGGTGGTTTCCCATTACCCCTCCACAAGTACAGGAAAACAAAAAACACGACTCGAGTTAACTCGAATGGCGCAACTTCTAGGAAGCAGTATGACCCCTGTCCAGCTGGCAGCTTGGAAATCTTTCGCTTGCTCAGGCGCTGAAGTGAACCGCTATTTTTTCTCCCTCTCGCCCGCTTTCTCCGAGCGTGCAATTAATCGCAAAAAAAAAGGCCAGGAGGGCGCAACTTCGCCAAGGACACGCAAAAACAAGTACATAATTTCGTTGGGCACATGTAAGACACCCCCTTTCGAAGAGGCAAACCGCTCATCCCGATGACAATTTCAAAAGGGCTCGCCTCGCTGTGCACCGAGGCGAGCTGCGCCCCAAGGCCCTCGCAGCGCTCCCGTGCCTCATGCAGGCTCAGCCCAGGCGGATATGTTTAGCGACATGAAACACCGAGCATCAGAGCAAAATTGAAGCCCATAGGTTGGCTTCTGCTAACGCGGTGTGAAGCATTTCCTCCAACAAGGCGACCCACCTAAGCAACGCACGCACGCCGCGTGGCACTCTAACGCACGGCTGGGCGCTGTCAGCGAACACATTCACAGCGACAGCTTGTTTCGCGCGCGCTCAGCACGATGCTTTCCAGCGCCGGGGCAGGACTCTCACGCTGGCAAAGCGGGGCCGCTGCAGCCATTGCGCGGAGTCGCCGGCCTCCCGCTGCATGGCAAGGCGCGTTCCGCAACACACTGGCCCGCGCGGCGCGACGCCTGAGCGAAACACAGCTTCACACGCGAAAAAACAGTCACAGTTGGAGCTGCAGATAACAGATTTGGAGCACCTGAAACGGTTGCTGTGGTGATTTCATTTCTTTGGCCTACTATTCTATTCTCACATCTGCGGGAATAGGGAGGCAAGCCTGAAAGGCTCGGCGGCTCGGCGCGGCCTCCACGCAAGCTGGGGCGCGACCACCCGAAAGCCGCCCGCGAACAGGCCTTTGCGATTTTCGGAGATATCACGCGGCCCAAGAACTTCATGGTTGGGGGTAAATTGGTTTCAGTTTCCTTGGGGCGTGACGACGCTTGACGTGGACGTACAGGGAAACCTGCATGATGCGCAATGCACAAGCGTAAGAAAAAACCACATTCACCAATCGACTACAGATTTGCGACTTGCCGCGGAGCTTACAGAACTGTCCAAGTATCTGTTGCGAAGACCTTCGCGACCAGGGTCGGAAAACGGATGTCAGTGGCCCAGTGCCGCTTCCAGCCACAATAATTGCCAACTGGGGCCAGTTGGCGCCCGTAACATTGCTTTGACGAAACTGGTCAGAGGCGGCAGTTGAACAATTCGGCCGGGCTGAAACGGAACCAACAGGAATACCCAACCCCTGTTCCTTCCCGTTTAGCCCGGATGTGCCTACGGCGAAAGATCACTTCATGGAAAAATTGGCCGCAGGCTTCTAACCAGTGGAATCACCCTCCAGCTGCGTGGAGGGTTGGGAAAGAAGGCAGCTTTGGAATTCCTGATGCAAACCACCCACAGTTGGGAAAACCGTTGCGCCATTTTCCCCGAAGAAAGACATACCCACTAGCATCCTCAAAGGAACAAGCTTGGACTTGGAACACTCCGCGTCTGCGGCGCATGGACTGGGAGACCCCAGGTGTTTTGCAGCTGGGTTTGCGGGAAACGAACCAAATCCAGACAAATCCAGTGGGTGACCCATGCATGGGGCTGTCACGAGATGTGTTCCAAGCATAGGTGTGCTTCTGATCAAATGGATGGAAAACGCCCTCGTACATGCTATACAGCCAGTCTGAACCAGTGGCTCGCCAAATCACCCTAAAAAAACCCATGGCTCCAAGATGCAAAAAAAAACAACCGACTGCCCCGTGCAAGCCATCAGAACCTGCTTGATCGAACTTGCTGATCCGGTCAAAAAAACCGGATTCCCCGAGTTCATTGGGACTCGAGCATTGGGAACGTGAAGTTGAAGCGGCGCAATCTCAGCTCTGGAGTTGGTGCCTGAGCCTCCACGCTTTGAACATCAAGCCCGTGTTGACCCCGGACAATTTTTTGGGTAATATGCCATGGTGATGTCTCCAAGTGGTTGGTGGCACAGTACGTTTGGAGGTCTTCCGGGACCCGTGGGTTTATCCACGAAAACCAGGGGTTCAAATCGCCAGTTCCCACCAATCCAACCCACCAACCAAGGGTTGCCTGAGAATCACATTCATAGCTCACAAACCGAAACCCTGCGTGAGGCTGGCGCAAACAAAACTGCGCAAATCCAACGGTTGAAGAATGGGCTACAAACCAACACGTCCCCACACAAAACAAAACACACATCTCTTTGCGCTATATATGGTCCCCCTTCACGATTGCAAGAAGCAAGGGAAGGGTTGCTCCTCGATTTCCCGTCAAAACAGCTCTCCAACCAAGGAAACACACACACACACACACCTTTACAGGGGAAGAAAAGGTGATATGTATCAACCCACAGAGTGGGGAAATAAATAGAGGACCCCCCCCCATTTCGGAACCTTGGGCGAAATCGGTGGAATTGGGTGTCTTTTTTGGAGTTGGTATCGCTTCTTTGGTGGTTTGAAAGGGAAGCTAAAAGGAAACACTCTCTTTTTTGGGGGTCCCCTAAGAAAGACACACTCGTTGCAACTAAAACCAACTTTCTTGAGTTGACAAGTTATGTCCACAACTCCTGTGGGTTCCGGAACCCTGGGGCCTGTTTCTTTAGGGGCCCGTTGAGTCATGCAACATCACAATATCCCCAGCTGTCCATTGCGAAATCCCAACCAAGACTTGAAACAAGACATGAAATCATGACCAGGTCCTCCAGATTTGAGAGGCTAGAAGAACGGTACCTTTTTTTGTCTGTATTCTGTTTTAGTAGGGGGAACCGAATCTCCCAACCAAATTTTGGCAAGGGTAAAAGTTGGCACCCAGCCGGGGGACCTGGATGAAGGTACCAAATTTGTGAAAGTGGCCCTTGGTGGCCCTTCGGCTCCCCCTTGGCGGTTTCCTTTTGGCCGCTGGGAATGATTGCTGTGATACAGCAGAAACAGCTTCCCAAAGACTATGTCGTCCATATAAAGGGGGAGTTCCTTGTATCACAGTGGGGAGAACCCCCTTGATTCTTGATCCCACAACCCTGCTTTTGGCAGTTTGCTTTCCCTGGCGGTGTCGTCGATAGTTTTTGCATCGACCAACGACCGGAAGCTCGGACGCCGAAGCTCTGAAGCTCTCGACTCGCCTGGTCCCAGTTGGCGGGACCCTCGAAGACGCGAAAACAGGAACTCTCAAAAGCCTGGGCCGCGCGCTCCGCGAGCGGCGAGTGGGTGCTTGGGTCACACTGAGCATATCTTCCAAAAACAAAACCTGAGGGGACATACCCCAAGACTTCCCGGATTGGGAAGAACGAGTCCCAAAACCTCCTGAGGGGAGTTACGCCGAAACTTCCTGGATTGGGAAGAACGAGTCCCAAAACCTCCTGAAAAATATACCCCAAAACTTCCTGGATTGGGAAGAACGAGTCCCAAAACCTCCTGAGTGGACATACCCCAAAACTTCCTGGGTTGGGAAGAACGAGTCCCAAAACCTCCTGAGTGGACATACCCCAAAACTTCCTGGGTTGGGAAGAACGAGTCCCAAAACCTCCTGAGTGGACATACCCCAAAACTTCCTGGGTTGGGAAGAACGAGTCCCAAAACCTCCTGAGTGGACATACCCCAAGACTTCCTGGGTTGGGAAGAACGAGTCCCAAACCTCCTGAGTGGACATACCCCAAAACTTCCTGGATTGGGAAGAACGAGTCCCAAAACCTCCTGAGTGGACATACCCCAAGACTTCCTGGGTTGGGAAGAACGAGTCCCAAAACCTCCTGAGTGGACATACCCCAAAACTTCCTGGGTTGGGAAGAACGAGTCCCAAAACCTCCTGAGTGGACATACCCCAAAACTTCCTGGGTGGATTGGGAAGAACGAGTCCCAAAACCTCCTGAGTGGACATACCCCAAAACTTCCTGGATTGGGAAGAACGAGTCCCAAAACCTCCTGAGGGGATATACCCCAAAACTTCCTGGGTTGGGAAGAACGAGTCCCAAAACCTCCTGAGTGGACATACCCCAAAACTTCCTCGGTTGGGAAGAACGAGTCCCAAAACCTCCTGAGTGGACATACCCCAAAACTTCCTGGGTTGGGAAGAACGAGTCCCAAAACCTCCTGAGTGGACATACCCCAAGACTTCCTGGGTTGGGAAGAACGAGTCCCAAAACCTCCTGAGTGGACATACCCCAAAACTTCCTGGATTGGGAAGAACGAGTCCCAAAACCTCCTGAGGGGATATACCCCAAGACTTCCTGGATTGGGAAGAACGAGTCCCAAAACCTCCTGAGTGGACATACCCCAAAACTTCCTGGGTTGGGAAGAACGAGTCCCAAAAACTCCTGAGAGGATATACCCCAAAACTTCCTAGGTGGATTGGGAAGAATGAGTCCCAAAACCTCCTGAGTGGACATACCCCAAAACTTCCTGGGTGATTGGGAAGAACGAGTCCCAAGACCTGCTGAGGGATATACTCCAAAACTTCCTGGGTGGATTGGGAAGAACGAGTCCCAAAACCTCCTGAGAAAATATATACCCCAAAACTTCCTGGGTGGATTGGGAAGAACGAGTCCCAAGACCTCCTGAGGGGATATACCCCAACACTTTCTGGGTGGATTGGGAAGAACAAAACCTCCTGAGAGGATATACCCCAAAACCTCCTGGGTGGATTGGGGAGAACGAGTCCCAAGACCTCCTGAGGGGATATACCCCAAAACTTCCTTGCTGGGTGGATTGGGGAGAAAAAGTCCCAAACATAGGTGGCCTTTTGGAAAAAGCGATGGCCCTGGTAAATGGAATAAACCCCATCTAAACAAGGCCCCCCCGAGAAAACCCATCCAAGTGGTGGTTCTTTTCATTCAGGGGACCAATTCCTGGGTTCATTCGACGTTCCCTACTGAGCACCAGCAAGCCTTTCATAAGGGGTCTTTGGTATGTCGGAAAGGTCTCAGATTGGGGCGGGTGACAAAGGAAACCACGGCGTGCTAGGGTCCGCTAAAGTTTGTTATTTTCACACATATCTGTGTAAGGGGCGGATTAATTTGAATGGGGGATCGGAAAACGCCTAAGACCAAGTCAGCAGAGTATAGGGGAATCAGCTGTGCAGTTGTTTAGCTCGTCAAAAGGGAAAACGGAACGAACTGTCAATCTGCAAGTTTTCTCGTAAAAAAGGGATCCCCAAGTGAAGCACCTACATCACGGCTTTTGCTGGTTCTTGCCCTCGTCACAAAATTGAGCATGGGCTTTAGGGGTCACCCCCTTCCAGGTTTCGGCTGGAGGGTGGGGGTGAACACAGGTCCCTTAAGAATCTTGGAGTTGGCGGGTGGGATTTTCGCTTGGTTGCTGTTGTCCCCGCTGCAAAGAGCTCAGCCTCTTGTGGGTTCAATTCGTAAACCCTTGATTTTATCCAAGTTCAAGCTCAACGGTCCGACCCAATAGCCATCCAAGTGCCCCGGAAAACATGGGTTTTGGTTTTCCAAGTGCCCGAACAAAGCTCCCCACCACAAATGGCCATGGGTCAAAATCCGAATCGTACCCCCAGTGAACATCCCAATCCAACCAAAATAGGAAGCCTCAAATGGGCGGCGACTTCACCCAATCCAACCAAAACGGCACCATTAAAATAGACCAAACTGGGTGGCGAGTTCACCCAATCCAACCAAAACGGTACCATTAAAATAGACCAAACTGGGTGGCGAATTCACCCAATCCAACCAAAATGGGATCGGCTTCGACCACCGCCAACTGGGTGCCGCTGGGAGATCCCTCGTTCTGCCGGGCCGGAAGGCGAGCAGATCGAGTCCCCCGGGCCTGCCATCCAGCGGGGCAGGCGGGGGTCCTGAAAGCGGGGAGAGAACCGCTGGAACCGCTGGAACTGGGGGGGACTGTGTCTGGACTTGTGGATGTGAGGCTGGAGTGTTCCTGTGGAATTGTTGTGAGGCTGGAGTGTTCCTGAAGTTGATTTGAGCGTGCTTTTTTCTGGATTTGTTGATTTAAGAGGAAGAGTGTTGCTGGAATTGTTGATTTGAGGGTGGATCGTTTATGGAATTGTTGACTTTATCGTGGAGTGTTTCTGGAATTAGTGGATTGAAGTGAGTTGTTGCTGGATTCTTTGATTTGAGAGTGACTTTTTCTTGAACTGGCGATTTGAGGGTGGATTGCTCTTTAATGTTTGAGTTGAGGCTGATTTGGGTGGAGGATTTGTCTGAACTGTTGATTTGAGAGTGGAATGTGTCCGGAATGCTTGATTTGAGGATGGGTGTTTCTGATACGTTAGATTTGAGGGTGGATGTTGTCTGGATTGTGATTTGAGGGTGGCTTGTTTCTGGATTTGTATGTGAGGGCTGTGAGGGTGGATATTTTCTGGCACTAGGGTGAAATTGTTTCTGGATGCTGTGATTTGAGGGTGAGTGGAGAGGTTTGGAAAAAGAACATCACGCATCCTCTTGTGGGTTCAATTCTGGGCTAGTTGGCGCCGAAAGCAAGTCTTTGAGACCCGTCAAGTACCCTTTCGATGGTCAACGCACCTTCCCGTGACAAAGTTGGGGCTCGTCCGGGGGAAAACTTGGTGCGCCCCAAATCGACCATACGCCCCCTGGAAAAATGAGAAACAAGTCCAGTAGTGAAATTAACAGGGGAAACATAAAACACATGTCTGGGCCGTCGTCAGATCCCCCGCTAAAAGATTAAAGCTTGCAGCGGGCTAAATTCGGAAATCCAGCCACCAAGCACTAAAAAGATCGCTGAATCTATAACTTGAAACGGGCGGCTGGGAGCCGGGAAGCAATATGTTCCAGCGAATGGAAGGCTACCATCTCTACTCTTGGTGTGGTAGCAACAAACTTTGGTTTTTGCAGACCCCCAGTAAAAATGAACAGAACCAAAAATCTAAAAAACCAACAAACATGCCAAGAACATCGATCCTACTGTATTTCGACCAAAGCCTTTGGCTCCAGAGGGGGCTGTTTAGATGTCTTCAAGGCAGCGCTTGGCTTCATACCGATACGCCCCTACAAATGAAGGAACTCCC